CACCTGAACCTGGGGAGTCCTTACCTGCTCGAAGCTCACCTGTTCCACAAGCCTGTCCTGCCGCCCTGCAGCTCATGTGCACAGTCTTTAAAGCTGATGTCTTCTCAAGGGTAAGGGCACAGTGGCAGGAGTCCATAGGGCATAGCCATTACAAACCCGGCTGCTCACAGTGAGGTCAGTAGTTCACAACCGCCAGTGGCTCCGTGGGAGAAAGACAAAGGGACTGTCCATCAAGAGGGACAGTTGTACCCTGTCCTATGGGGTCATTAGGAGTCGGCGTGGACAGCTGGCAGTGAGTTTGCTTTTTTGAGGGAACCGCCCCAAGCAGCAATGCTACTGCTGATGCAAACTCCAGGGACATCAGGAATCACAGCTACAGGGAGCAAAGTGCCCCCCCCCCCCATACACTAGGGGAAAAAAATATTTTTTAATTGTACGTATTTCTCACAGCACCCTGAGAGGTAGGTCTCTGTGTCTCCACGTCTCTAGTTCAAATGAGCCCCCAGCAAGGAAGCCAAGCAGGTCCTGCAGGATATGAGAGGGGACTTGAGGATCTCTGTGGACTGGCTGGCTTCTCTTAGGGTCTTCAGAGCCTTGGTGTCCAACACCCTGCACCCTGGACAGACTGCAGGCCCCATGGTGACATCTGCTCCAAAGGAGCCAGAGGCCCAGCGCTCATCCATCCAGCTCCAACTCCTGGCAGATCCAGGGCTGTTGGAGTCAAACCATGCTGCCCAGGGTTCTCAGCGGGACCGCCAGGCCTTTCTTCTGAGGTGCCTCTGGGGGTGGCTCTGAGCTCCAGCTTTGCAGGCAGCAGCTGAGCAGTCCGTCTCCATTTGAGTCAGAACCCTGGAGGCAAGTTGCTGGGATAGTTCTCGGCCCCCTCGTGGTTCAGAGTTCGTTCTCCAGCCGTCTTGTTCCTGTGCAGTCGTTAGACCTTCTCGACTTAGAATCCACGCCTTTAGGTAACATGGTCTTTTGACAGACCCAGCAGTACCTGGATTGCCCAGCAGCGTGAACAGGAAGGAGCCTGGTGGCCTAGTGGATTGTGCATTGGGCTGTATCAACCGCAAGGTCGGCAGTTCGAACCCCGCAGTCACTTCTCCAGAGAAAGAGGAGGCTGTCGGCTCCTGCGGAGTATTTACTGGCTTGGAGATCCCCCAGGACGGTTCTGCTTTGTGCTCTAGGATCCTAGTCGACTCGATGGGAGGGACTGTTTGCTTTTTCTCATGGTTTGTTGTTGGTTTGGTTTTTCCTGTCTGTCTGTCTGTTGAGACTAGACAGGGCTCAGCCCCTGCTTGCTGCGAGTGAGCAGCCCAGCTGTAAAAGTTGAACGGTCCAGGCTTGTGTGGCAGCAGTCTTGACAATGACAACAGCAACAAGACAGATTCGGTAGCCGTCCTAACGACCCACGGAACACCTCGTGGGACCGGGCTCCTTGGTTTGGTGGTTCCCGGTCATGGTTCCAGGGGATTCCAGTTAATCTGCCTAACAAGGCATGCAGTGCTTCTGGTCTACCTCCTAGTTCACCATGTGATTCCGGGGTCTTCAAAGTCGGCCATCAGCCTTCCAAAGGGGTGGCCATCGATTTCCACTTGCTCCTGGAACAACAGAGGAAGTAGAACCAGGGGTCACAGAGGAAGAAGAGTCGGGGGTCCCGGGGGGCTATGGAATATGTGGCTAATCGCCTCCATAAGCAATTTCCCCCATTGCCGGGAGACCAGAACTGGGTGGTGCCCGGCCACCCTGTTGAGAACAAAGATTCTCCTGAAGAATCCTGATCGAGAAGTGTGTGTGTGTGTGTGTGTGTGTGTGTGTGTGTGTGTGT